GCGCCGAGAAGCGGTTGCCTTCTGGAGGAGGCCCAGAGCCCGAAGGGGCGGGGCTACGCGTGACGGCCACGGCCCCGCCCCGCCAAGCCCCGCCCACCGCCGGAACGCACGCGTACTTCTCCTTCAGTTGGGCTCCAGCTCTTCTCGCCGCTGTCCCCGCCCACTAAAGCCTTGCCCTCCCTGCGTCAGGCGCGTGCGCAGTGTTCCCGCGCCGCTTCAAGACGTCGCCTACGTCCCCCTGAGCCCGCCGTCCTGCTGCACAGCGAGGTCAGGCTGGTGAGTGCGGAGTTCCATTGCTAAGGTCTCTCACTGCCTGCTTTGCGGACTCAGAACCAGCCACTCCAAATAAGGAGGAGCCTTGAGAAGAAGTGTCCCCCACATGCCTACCGACTGCACGAAGCCCTTGTCGCCTTCCTTTTGGAACCTTGCCTTCAGCAATGGCCTCACCCTGCCGAATACTGCTGGGAAATCGGTTTTAAGTGTAGTCTGGGTATCTGTCATTCAACGTGGAAAGGAGCAGACAGCCATGGAGAGAACAGCACTAGCAGAACCGAGGATCCGCCAGGCCGGAAGCTGGATCACAACTGTCGTTGCCTGGGCACCACGCCAGCCTCCGGGACACTGCTAGCCCTAGGCCTGGACTCGGGAACGCGGCCTGAGATCGGTGCGCAGGGACCAGGATCGCACACACGTGTGTGGTCAGGAGCGAAGATCCAGTCGGCGCCCCCCACACCCTGTGACCTTGCCCAGGTCCTCCCACTTCTCTAACTGCGTGGAGAGTCTACAGGAAGTACCCGCGAGCCCAGCAGGAGAGCAGCGGCGGGCACTGTGGAAAGGCCTTAGACAGGGCCTTGCTACTTCAGTAGCTGGAGCGCTTGCTTGACCTCCCGGGAAGTCAGGATCCTGCAGGAAAAATGGACTCTTGAACCCGCGGGGCACCTTTTCCAGGGAAGCGAAATTTACTGCCTTCCACAACAGTACACTAATTTATATTGAGTCAGTGTTTATATACCGTGTACTTCGTGAGTCTTGGGTGCTAGTGTGGCCCTCTACCTAACACCGGCACATTGACTTAGGGCAATTCTATCCTTGCTGATGGGAATGTGAACAAAGGTTCTGTTTGTTATCTGGAGCTGACAGCTTACTGCATTATATCACATTGAGATAGAGTATTGTCTGGTCCACTCTTCACCATAGAGGTCCCTGAGAAGAATTTAAAACAGGCAAATAAGTACAGATACTGTCTATCATGAATACAGGAGGGCAGCACCACTTGTACAACAATCATTGTTTTTGCTCATCTGCAAAGTGCTCTTCATACAACTTAATGCTGCCAAATACAATAGTCTATCTGCCTCCCTTCAGTGAAACATAAACTTTTTTTTGGTACCACTAAGCTAAATCCCTGGCCCTCAAATGAACTTTTTTTAACGATGGTAGATGTGAACAGTCACTACACCAAAGATGATATATACTTAGCAAACCACCACATGAAAAGATATCCCGCATCATTATTCATTTGGTGAAAGCAAATTGAAAACACCTTCACTGGAAGACAGCCTCTTTAATAAATGGTGCTGGGGCTGGGGATTTAGTTCAGTGAGGGTGCCACGTGCAAGGTCCTGGGTTTGATCCATGGTACCCCCCAAAAATACTCCAAAACAAAAAAAATAAAAATAAATGATGCTGGAAAAACTGGCTTTCCACATGCTGACCGAAACTAGACCCATATCTTCCACCATACACTAACCTAAAATCGAAATGGATCAAATATCTAAATATTAAAACAGAAACACTAAATCTGCTGGAAGATAGATTAGGTAGAACTCTTGAAGACACTGGTGTAGGCAAAGACTTTATGAATAAAACCCTAGTTGCACAGAAACTATCACAAAGAATCAACTGGGATGTCATTTTATCATAAGGCTTTTTGCACAGCACGAAAAACCAGCAGAGTAAAGAGACAACCCAGTGTGGAAAAAATGTTTGCTAGCTGTTCCTTGGACAAAGGACTACTAGATGGAATATATACAGAATGGTGTTTTGGCAGGGATGTAGCACAACTGAGTGTTGGCCCACAGGCAGCTGGTGTTCAGTATTCTCAAAGAGTGAATTTACCCATTTGTTCATTGCTTCCTTCCTTTCCTAGTCTTCCAAAAATAACTGGGGGGGGGTCCCTTTTAAATTTTTATTTTGGTACAAGGACTCCCTAAAGTTGCCCAGTTCAGATGGAATTTGTGATTCTCCTGTCAGCCTCCCACGGTTCTGGAGTTACAAGTGAGGGCCACCACAACTGTCTCCATAAAGGATTTGAAGAGGCTTTAAACAACATAACCTGAGTTTCAGAGGATTAGCTAAGCATTTCTTTTTTTCTTTTCAGTGTAGTCCTATTAACACTGAAGCTGGAGAGGAGGCCCAGCCCCTGCTGCAACATGTTCTTCAGGGAGAGAGAGACAGAGCTGCAATGACCCAGGTAGAGCATGTGCTTTCAGGAGGCGGTAGAACTCAGGCAGGGTCATTCAAGTCAGACAGTCCTGGAACTGGAACACCCAAAATAGGGAAATATATAGAAATCAGCTGTGACCAGCTTAAGACTGACAACCAGTAGCACAAACATTAAATCCTGTACCTGCATATATAGAACCTTTGGCAGATTGTGTTGAGGTGTGAGCTCCAAAGGGCATAGGAAGTGTAGGGAACAGGGAAAGGGACGTTACTAGAACCTCTGCAGTAAGTCGTAGTCTCCTGTGAGCCACAACAGCACAAAGCAAATTAATTTATTAGACAGAAAAGATATAAAAATGAGACAGAGAAGAAGCTGAGCTTTGGGCCTGATCAATGCTGCTTTGGGCAGCAAACCCGAAAAGACCAGGAGCTTGCCACACCTTTATTTGATGCATCAGGAGAAACAAATATAACAGATGACCCAGAGGGCAGTGAGTTCAATACATCAAGAGTAACAAATGTAAAAGTTGACTCAGAGGGGGGTAGGTTCGAAAATCCTAGAACGATAAGGAACTATGCAGATTAAGATTTTGTTCCTCCCAGGATGTGTGCAGGTGGTGTAATCCTGCCCCTGGAGCATCATAGCATCACCAGACCATTAAAGTTTTAGCTGTGACTAAAGGCAAAAATGGAGTTATATCTTGACATGCCATAGCTGGCCTGTAGGCAGGAGAACTAAGCCTAATCCTAATTTTAATTGTGAAATGATTTTTCCCAAAAATTATGTAGAATTGATCCTGACAGGTCAGGCCCACTCCTATGGCCTTGCTGATCATAGCTCACATGGCCTCTTTTGGGTTGGCTCTACTTACTACCTGTGGTAGCAAATGTCCCTCATTCCTGGCGTCTTCAATTTTCTGGGGTCTCTGCTACACCTTTGATGTCACTCTTATGGCTAGCTGCATACACTACCTTCTCATGGGCTACTGGTAGGGACTGTGACTATGCCATACATTTTGGCTTGGTCTCCAATGCCTTCTGAAATTTGAGTGGAAGCCTCTGTGATGTCATGACTCTTACATTGTGCATGCTTGAAAAACCAGCACCAGGTCAATAATACCACAGTTAGCTACCACCTTGAGCAGTAGCAAGGCCCTCCCAGGGACTGTGTCTGCAAACAGCCTGAGTACCTGGATGGATGAACTTGGGGAAGCATTTCCTTTGGTGGCCCAGAATAAGCAGGGTGGCCAGAGGCTTTCTGTTCAAATGAAAGGTTTATGTTTTTGCACCCGTGAGCCTGAGATGAATGGGGTCTGGCCAATTCCTGAGATACCTGCAAGCCATCTTTCCAGAGGCAGAGTACTTGACTGACTTTTAATGATGATCTTTTCACAACCACATTCTCTTTTGCTGCAACTTTACAAGCGCTTTGTTTCTGGCCAAGCTTCACATCACTCAGCTCTACATTTTGCTCCTGATTCTCATTATAATTATAGCTAAAAGCAACCAACATACTCATGCCACAACCTACAGGTTGGACTGCCTTGATATTTCTTCCACCAGATTAATCAGTCCACCACCCTGAAATTCAGCTTCACACAGTCTTAGGACATGGGAAGAACACAGAAAAATTCTGTGCCAAAATGAAATACACATTTCTACTTCATTTTCTAAGAGAGTCTTTATTCCTATTTGAAAATTCCTAAGCCTGACCTTTACTGTCCACATTCTTAGCACTATTTTAGTTTTCCGAGCTCTGACCAGAATCACGTTCCAAGTTCTGCTTACAATATTCTAAGGTTTCTCTATCTGGCTCTTCAAATTTTTCTACACTTCCACAACAAGTTCCAAAGACTTTTGAACCATGTGGTCAGGTATAGTCAGTGACTCCACTTCTCTGGTACTTGTTTTCTGTATTAGACAATTTTTTGTCACACACACACAAAATTCCCATACCCACCACTTAAAGGAGAGGCTTATTTTTGGCACACTTTCAGTGGGTTGGCTCCAGTGAGCTGGTTCCAAGGCAAAAACTGCATGACACAACAGGATGTGAAGGAAAACGGTCCACAGCACTGTAGCCAGGAACTGGAGGAGCCAGGGATGAGAATACACCCTTCCAGGTCATGCCCCATGACCCACCATTTCCTACAAGGCCTTATCTCTAAACGTGAGATTTCTGGGGGACATTTTAGATCAAAATCACAGCAATATTATTATTCACATTTTAGAGATGAGGAAATCAAGGTTATCAGGGATCATATACTTTGTCCAGGGTTACATACCAATTAGGGCCACACAGCTGCAGTTAAGTTTGAGTGCAGGGAACGACCTCATGGTCCATGCTCATAACCGTTAACTTCAATTTTATGTCTCTGGAGGACTGCACATTGTCAGAAAATTTCAGAGAAGAAAAAAAAATTACTCTGTGCAATTTTGATGTTGACAGTCTACTTTCCTTATATACAGATACACTTGACTTAGCACACATGCACAGTAGATGTCTGAGGAAGCTAATATGGTTATTATCGTCTTGGGATGGTATATGGGGCCAAGCCCTCCTCTGTAATCACCCTTGACTTCCTATGACTTTGAGGGACAAGATGGACCATTTCTCATTTTCCAAGAGTCAGGGAGATTAACAGGCTTGCCTGAGGACATGGTGCTGATCAGTAACACTAAAATGGCCATCTAACGCTATGGGATCCCCTACCCTCTCTCCCTGCCACCCTGTAATCCTTCCCCTCACCTGGGAATTGTACAGGTACCTTGGATTGAGAGGTCATGCTGGCCTGTGTTCTTCAGTCCTTGGGCTCTCCTAGTGCCTTGTTTCTGCCCCCTTGGGACTTGGACAGGATCTGTCTACGGATACATAGGCCCTGTGCCAAATAGCCAGGGTTAGGGAATGTTTGCTAGTCGTGTGGTATCATGGTTTACATGTAACATTTCCCCCAAAGTTTTGAATTTTCATGTAGGACTTTTGGAAGGGGATTGGACCATAAAAGTGCTAACCTCATCAATGAATGGGGTATTGGAAATAGATCACTAGGGGCAAGATCTAGAAGGGTGTATCCTGCCCTAGCCCCTTCACCTCTCATCTCTGGCTCTCTTACTCTGTCTGCTTCTTGGCTGCCGCGAGCTTCACCCTGCAATGCCCTTCTGCCATGATGTATCTGCTTTGGAACCAGCTGAAATCACGAGCCAAAATAAACATTTTCTTCTTGTGTCAACTATTTTGTCCCAACAACTGAAAGCTGACACAGAAAATTGGTATGGAAATGGGGGTTGGCATGACTATAATTGGACATGTAGTTCACAAGCCTTTAGATCTGGTTTACAGGAGGGGTTTGGAAAAGTGTCGATAATTATGCTAGGGAAAGCCCCTCTGCACCTCCACATGCTGCCAAGCATGAAGTTCTGCTTCTGCATGGGCCCAGAGGCAAAGGAGCCAAATGACTATGGACCAAGAATTTCAAACCATGAGTCAAAATAAACCTTTCCCCTTTATGTGTTTTCTCAGGTATTTTGTCATGGCAATATAAAGCTAACACATTGCCCAGCATTATGGTGGCGCACACCTGTAATCCCAGCACTCGAGAGGCTGAGGCAGGAAGATCGCTGAGTTCGAGACCAGCCTGGGCTACATAGTGAGTTCCAGGTCAGTCTCAACTACATAGTGAGACCCTGTCTCAAAAAACAAAAACATATCAACAAAAGCTAACACATCTCATCACTCAGCAACTGGGAAAACAGACCCGTGAGCTGAGTTGCAAATGATAAACCAGGAGACTGAGAGCCACTGCTGAGACAACAGAGGAACTGGGAGTCAGGGGCTGCTCGGGAGCTGGGACACTTGAGGGCCGATCCAGTTCTGCCCAGTGTGGTTTGTGGGCTGATGAAAGTCACAAGTCACCCTACCTCTCTGGTTTCAGGTCCCTCACCCATGACTTGGTGTTCATATGTGGTAGAAGGTGCTGAGCACAGGGTCTGGCATGAGAATGAACACTAAGTCCAAGTGTGCTTGAGACAGCAGGCTGAGAAGCCCCCATGTCCACCAATGCTGGGGAGTCTGTCAGTCTAGCCTGCTCTGACAAAATACCATGGACTGGGAAGTTTTACACACAACAAATAATTTTATTGTTTTACATTTAGTTCCTTTCTTTTAACAGAAATTTGTTGGGAGTCCTGGAGGCTGAAAGTCCAAGAACACGGAACAGGCAGTTTTCATGTCTGATAAGAGCTGCTTCCCCAGAGAAGGTACTTTTTAGCTCTGTCCTCACACAGTGAAGGGACAAACGAGAGCTCTTCTTGGATAAGGCCACTAACCCCAGCCATGAGGGCCTCTCCCTCCAACCTAAGCAAAGTTCAAAGGTCCTAGTTGCTACACGTCATCACCGCTAGGGTGAGGATTTTGACACAGGTTTTGAGGGATACAAACATGTCCATCATAGCAGTGATTCCTTGACCCTGTGCCGGGAGGTGGGCACTCTTGGCTGGGAATGAACTTGATACTTCATCTGTAGACTGGGTGACCTTCAGCTTGGTCTGCTTCTGTTGCAGAGCACTGGTTAGTGCTTTCCGGTAGGGCTCAGAACACAGCTTCTTCTTCCTGGAGGCCAGACCCAAGGTCACTGCCCATCTATGGGGACATCAAGGCCCAGAAATGGGCACAAGTCTCCTGCAGTGTCTGGGGAACACAGGGAGGGTATACACCTGAACTTTCTTGAAGGAGGCTGAGGCCAGAGTGGGCCTGGGAAACAGAGGGAGGCAGCCTGGAGAGGGCTTGGTGGAAGTGGGGAAAAGGTAGCTTACTGGGCCCCTATGGGCTAGGAAGACTGCCCGGCAGGGTGTCTGGGCTTCTGAACACCCTAGAGTCATTCTACTAGGCTGTCCTCCCACAGTTCAGACACCTGCTAGAGCTGAGGCCCAACCTATGCCAGACTGGTTACCCTCTCCACTGGAAGCAGCAAAATGGCTCATGGACAAGTAGGGCAGGTAGAAAGCTGCCCTTTTAGGTCCTGCTGCAGGAAGGCCTGTTTCTCGGGGATCTCCAGAATTCCCCAAGCTTGCTTTCAACAGGTTCTCCAGCCTCTCCTGCCCTGGTATTAGAATAACTCAGGTCCCTCTCTGAGCTCCCTACAGCTCCCCAAGGGAAACAGTGGCTCTTCATCTTTGTCCTGGCACCAATCTGGCACACAGTAGGTGCTCAATAATGATACCTGCAGGGGCCTGGAAGATGTGCAGGGTCTTCTGCCTGGTTCACCTCACTGCTCTCGGCAGCCCAAGGCTATTAGAGGCAGAAGCCGGTGTCCACACTGGGCAGCTGTCTGCTGATGGGCTCTGTCCCTCCTCAGAGCAGGACTCCTCACTGCTCTCGGCAGCCCAAGGCTATTAGAGGCAGAAGCCGGTGTCCACACTGGGCAGCTGACTGTCTGCTGATGGGCTCTGTCCCTCCTCAGAGCAGGAGAGCAGGGGACCTGGCACCCCTGCGACGAGGAGGCTGTACGGCCAAGATGCTTCCTCTGCCCTGGCTGAGTATGGGCAGAGATGCAGCAGGGGCAGCTGTGCACCTCTCTCCCGCCAGCTCTTCAAGGGGGCCTAATGGGCCTGGTGGGTGTGGCCATGGCAGCCCTCACCTGACCCTCCCCTCTTTAGACCACCCAGGGCTGCCGAATCCTCCAAGATTAGGCTGGGTGTCTCTCAATAGCTGGGATCCTTAGGCAGACATGGCTTTTACATGGCTTTACAGAGGGGCGTGGCTCCCCCTCTGTAAAACAGAAGAGGGAAGACTAGGCCTGCTACAGGGATGTCTGGAGATGAGTGCTCTGCAGGTAACAGAAATAGAGCAGAGCTTAAGGCCCAGCACCCAGTAGGTTCTCAGGGAAACGTTCCAGGGAGAGCTACGGGCTCAAGGGGTCGCAGGTCCTATTCTGCTGCTATAGGGGGTAGGGAGCCCCACCCCACGGGGGAGACCAGGTCAAACGGGCTCAGGGCCCACAACTTCCCTCTTGCTCAGGTCCAAGGGCCGGAGACTCTAGGAATGATGACGCATCGTAGCACTGCTGCAAGTGTGAGGGCGGACACACAGCGAGGGCCTTTTGCACACCTGAGATCGACTATTTATTGATTTTGTTCAAAGATGCAATACACTTAAAGGAGATACTAAACTTAAAAGGTAAGACAGCTGTTGGTACATCTGTAGCACAGAAACGGGGACTTCTGCTGGGAATTTTCATGATAGTCCCTGACTCATGCACTTTCAAGGAAGAGTGGAGCTTCCTGTGGACACTCAGTAGAAAGCAGTGCAGCTCACGACAGTGGTGTCCTATGCTGTCCCACTACTGTCCCAGCAAAAGTAAAGGCCCTTCCCACTGTAGGTTCTTCAGGTCGCCCCGTTGCACCGAGGACTGAAGGCACTCGGTGGGACTGTGATGCAATCCACAACCAGTCTCTGTTTACTCATGAGGAACACTGGTGATAGCAAAGCCTGTGATGACCTCGTTCGCCCCGTTGCACCGAGGACTGAAGGCACTCGGTGGGACTGTGATGCAATCCACAACCAGTCTGTTTACTCATGAGGAACACTGGTGATAGCAAAGCCTGTGATGACCTCAAAGATGGCCTTTTAACAGATCTCCACAGTTAGAGACCTTAAATCTGTTTAGATTCTCTGAATAGCAAATAATATATACAGCCTGATATAGAGCATCTTAAGCCATAGAAGCATCTGCTCGAAAAGTTAGACTTATTTAACCTTTCAAATCACTGATAAAATAGTGAATCTGCAAGACAGTTGAGTTTTAAGCAGGAATAGAGTCCAACTCATTTGGACAGATGGCGACTTTGGGGAGTCCTGTGTGAGGTTTCCTCCGCAGGCCACATTCATCATTGAAACCCCTTTGTGGTGCGCCCCACATTCTGCATGGCCTCTTGCCTCGGGCGTCACCTGTCCACAGGACCTGTGGCAGCGGCCAGGCTGATGAGCAGCAATGGTGGAGACAGAGCTAACACATCCTGGAGCCAGGTCAGAGCAACCTGTGCCATAACTTATATGCAGAGGATGGCAGAGCAGGTGTGTAAAAATGTATAACTGTACATAGCCTTTAAATTAAAATCTTCAAAATCTTCACTCAGAAAATGGTATATGTTTGTTTACTTAACTAGCAGGGATGAGACTGGTGAGAGACAACAATCAGTGGAAGAAGAATGAGCCGAGAACATCCAGACCCGCACAGCACAGAACTGGGGGTCGGGAGGGCCAGCTCTTCTCCCGCTGTCTTCCTGTGCAGAGCTCCCAGATGCACTTGGAAAGGGCTGAGTCCTGCTGGGAGGACTAGCTCCTCTGCCTTCCAAGCACATCTGGAAGCAACCGCAAGGGAGCTGGCATCTTGTGCAGGTAAGAGTGGATGCCCCAAAGGCTGCAGAGACCACCGCTGCCTGGGCCGAGGCTGAGGGAGCTCCAGAGCTGGCCTCTTCCTCTCTCCGCCAGCCTGCCCCTGGCCTGTCACTGGATGGCCTCCACATAGTTGGCGGGGTACAAGCCAACCTGCCCACTGTCCAAGCGTCCCTTGCACCAGCCCTGCTCATCCTCATCCTCTATCTTGGTCAGCTCATCACCTGCAAGACAAAGAGGAGCAGGTCTAAGTCAGAGGGTGGGTGATGCTGGCCGCAGGTGCCTAAGCTATGTGCCTTTGTGGGCCCCACATGGAAAGTGCTGCTAGGCCTCGGAGGGTTTGCATCACAGGTGGAGGAACAGGCATTCTCCCCAGGGTAGGGCTGGTGCCTGATAATTTCCCCACTGAATGATGTGCCAAGCTGCAGCCCTCGTCACAGTGGCCTCTCAGGACTAAAGGAGCAGCTCTGTCATGGTGACCCTGGAGCACACGGCTCGCAGAGGCTGTAATGGCTCCCATGGCCATGCAGAACAAGAAGGCCGCAGGCCTGGCTTGTAGATGGAGGAAAGATTTGAAATCTACAACATTTCAGTCAGGCTGAATAGGTGAGATATGCTAAAAGTCTGAAATTAGAAAGAAATAGACACAGCAGGGGTCATAACAGCAAGCTGCAATATCAGAAAACTGGGGGAAGACAAGTTTAAAGGCGTATAAAACATGTCTTCTCGGGAAGGCATTCATGGTACAGTGCTTGCCTAGGATGTGCAAGACACTAGGCTTAAAATCCAGTATAGGGAAAAAAAAAACTCCAGTGGCCAGAGGCCCCTGATAGCCAACCCTGGGGACAGTGTCAGGGAAGTCGGCTGAGAGCAGAGGGACGAGCCAGGGTGGACAGCACCAGTCTATATCTCTAAGCTCGGGTCCACCTTCCCTCTTCTTGAAGAGGTGGATGCTAGCTCTGGGCAGCTCTGCAGAGAAGGAACTGTGGGCCTGCTTTGCTCGAGCTTCTCTGTCCTTCTCAGACAGGCATAAGGTTGCATTTTCCAAAGGTTCAAAGCTCTTTCCTGGAGAAATGATCAAGTTTTTAAAAAACCAGACACAGGATAGGAAACTTGCACAGGACAGCACACACAACCAGGATGGAGAATGTGTGAACCTGCTTTTGAACCACAGGCCACACAGGTGTGTGTGCAAATGTGCAAATACATACTGTGGCAGCAGAAGGGATGCCTGACGATGTGCCTCACACAAGGCCAGGCCTGGCCCGAGGAGCCACCAGTAGCCATAGCTTTCCTGATGGCTCCTATATACCTGCAGCGCTGGGGAAGGGAGGTTTCCCTTGGGGTCCTGTGGCTGGGGGCTCTCAGCATGTGGGAGGAGCCTGGTGCTCATGGCCAATAGTGTCCCCACAGCATGACTAACCAGTGCCCTGCTGTGCCCAGCTTCTGCCAGGTATGACACAAGGGCACCTTGCTGTATTGTGTTTTGGCATTGGGCACCTGCTACTTTTGAGGCCATGAGAGAAGGTGTCACAGAGTGGATCCACGTGAGAAACTTGCAGAACTTTATCACATTCTGAGAATGAAAGGGCCCAGTCCCCAACAGTCCAGAAGCCCTCGTCCTTCAGGGATGGCCAAGGAGACCACCTACCAGCCTTGAAGCTCAGCTCATCATGCTCCTGCCCCTCATAGTCATACAGGGCCCGGACTCGCACTTCTGTTCCCGAGGCAGTATCCTCATCAAATGGGTTGGAATCACCGTTGGCATCCGTGGAGGAAAAAGGGTTGTTGCACTCATCATCAGACCAGTCAGCAGGGTAGCTCTGGGTCTTCTCATAGCTGCTCACACTGCAACAAAGGAGTGGACACGGCCCTGAGCACAAGAGTAGCAGAGGACAGGAGGCTCTGCCTAGAGCCCCTGCCCCAGTGGAGGAGGTGCAAGAGCCCTGGGTTGAGGGCTCTTCCTCCTGGCAGGAGAGCCTGAAGGGCACCAGGGCCTGGGAGAGCTCACGCCATCACACTTGTCCCAAGCCCAGCAGGACACTTCACAGCAGCACCTCCAGGGTGTGTGCGCCCCCACAATAGACTGCCTGTATGGTGGTGCCTGAAGGGTTATCAAAGGCCAGAGAAACAGCACCAGAGCGCTAGTTGTGCCCTCCCTGAGAAGTGTAGAAGCCAGACGTGGTCCACAGTGGGCATCAGTGTGTACCCTCTCGTAAGGTCTGCCAGAGCGCTTGGGGTGAGGTGGGACAAGACCCCAAGAGATATCCCTGGACAGAGAAAGGAGATGCAGAGCGAGTGAGGAGCAAGTCAGAAGGAAGCATGTGTTCACCAACTTTTTGGTCTTAATGTCCTCCTTCTCGCTGACGGTGCTGCCCGTGTCGTCCTCGTCCTCGAAGGGGTTGTAGCTGTAAGAGGACCACAGCTCCCATCTGAGTGGAGAGGAAGGTGTGGTGAGAACACACATGAGCTCTGCAGGACATGCTGCCGTGCTTAAGGCTTTTCAGTGTGTTTCAGGCAGCCAGAGAGAAGCAACTCACTTCCTCTTGTGTCTGTCTGGGGACTCCCAGCTGCAGCATCACAGCACTAGAATATCCAAGGACCACAGCTCCCATCTGAGTGGAGAGGAAGGTGTGGTGAGAACACACATGAGCTCTGCAGGACATGCTGCCGTGCTTAAGGCTTTTCAGTGTGTTTCAGGCAGCCAGAGAGAAGCAACTCACTTCCTTTCTTGTGTCTGCAGGTGTCAGTATGGGATGGGGCCCCGCTGTGGGGCAGTGGCCATCGTAGGTGCACGAGGGGCTCCCAGCTCAAAGCTTCTGCACAATCCCGTCCTCTGTACTGTGAGGCGCTGCGCTGAGCCTAAGAGCCAATGCCCAGGGGCTCTAGACATACAGCACCAATTCCCTCCTTTAGGTACCAAAGGGATCAGCACCAGGCTCCTGAGCTCCCTGGGTCAGGAACTTCTGAACTCAGGGCAAGGCTTGCCACGTGACCTTCTCCAGGGAGAGAACAGGACCCTTCCATGTTCTGGAGAGTCGGTCCATCCTCATGACTCCAAACAACCACCTCCAGGGTGCCAGGCTGGTGGAGATCAGGGAGAGGCCAGAAGCTATGGCTTGAGAGGAAGGGGCGCAGGGCGTGAAGCAGTACAGGGGCCACGGCAAGATGGTACAGCAAGATGACTGATGCCCACAAGGGATTCTGGGTGGATAAACAGTCTCCCATTTCTGAGGCCAGGCTTGCGGCAGTGGGCACTCTACACCTGAGCGTCTGGCATGCAAGTACGGAAACAATGAAAGGTTAAAGGGACCTGGGAGGTCATGGGCACAGCCTGTTTGTGCCCACAGAAAGCCAGTGTGTCTGAAAACCTCCTTCCCTGACCATGTGGCCAGCAGCTGAACTTGCCATAAGTGTCCTGGGAGGCTGAAGGCTTAGTGCCTGTGGCTACAGGATGCCTTGGGAACCTGGGCTGAGCCTTCCTGGAAAGTCCTATCACCAGGAACCCATGACCAAGCATGGAAGGCCTGCTGTAGCACACTTTCCAGAAGGTTCTAATGAGGACAGTGCCACCCGTCCTACCCAAACTCACATTTGGACAACTAAGTCAGACTACTCGCCTGATGAAGGGTGATTTGAAAAGGGACATCTGATGGCCCTACCCCCTCCACTCCCATCCCCTCAGCTGACCAGTGCTGCACCCAGCACGGGACCCAGGAAGCACCTGTACCCAGCTCTATCCACATAGTGTGGCTCCATGGAGGCAGTCTCAGGACCAAGGCTGACTTGTGGCAAAAGCTACCTCTCTAATCTGGAGCAGCTGTGGCACCAGGCAGAAAGATGATCTTGAGAGGCACCCTTGGGCCAAAATCAGAGTGCAGGGGCCGTGAGAATCATCAAGCTGGCGCTGTCTGGGACTAAGCAGATGACCCAGAAGACCCTCCCGAGCTCAGCCCGTGCTCTCTGGATGGAGGCTGCACCCAGTGCTCACCTGCCAGCCTTGTTCGGCACAGCCTGGTCAGCTGTCTGGCTGATGCCTGTCAAGGTCACACCGTCAGCAGCCTTCTTTTTCTCCCTCCGGCTGAGAGTTCGATTCAGGTCTGCAGACCACTCCTAGGCAACAAGGGTCGAGGGAGAGATGTCAGAATATTCACTGGGTGGGTATCAGAGGTCTGAAATGCCTACTCAGTAAACTGGTCACCTGCCCTGTGCACTTAGTGTCCTAAGCCTCATGGCCTCTGTGTTCCCTGCTTTCCCAGTAGACCTTAGGCTCCTCTTCACCTACCCATGGATCCAAACCACCTGAACCCCTCCTCACAGTTCAAAGGGGAGACTCCTCAGTGAGCCTGGAGTTTGGCACCTGTACAACCCCAAGGTCTATACATGTGGCAGCCGTGCTTCCTGAGACAAGCAGATTGCCAAGGATATGGGGCCACAAAAGAACCAGGGCTAACACTCAGTGTCCTGTGTTTTGATCCAGATACCTCTGAGTCTCACCCTTGCCCACCATGGCACTTCAGCTCCTTCAGGCTTCCATGGACTCCAGTAGCCTCGCCAGGTATCCTGAAGGCTCCAAAGCTGACAGGAGCCAGCGCACTGGGAAGCCTTACTGAGGCACAGAGTCCTGTCCTGAAGTAGCCACGTCCTTCCCATGTATGGCCTAAGTCCTGGTCATGAAGGTGACACTGGGCTGCAGGGACCTTGGCAAACCGAATCCTGGACTACAAAGAACACCAGGAACTGGGTGGCTCTGACACAAAACAGCATACAAGGGCTCTGATCACTGCTCCCCAGAGCCTTTCCTTTTTAACCTGAGTGACAAGCTGGGCACTAACTAAGCAGAGCACTGGTTTATCTTCCCAAAGCTCTGCCATTTTCCCAACACAGAACAGGCTTTTAGCAACTGTGCTGAAACACAGACGGCAACGGAGACAAGGTCTTGATTCCCCATATGTGCCCGAACATGGACTTTTAATGAATTCTCCTTCCTCCCTTCTCACTCATCAGGTAACTTCATTAAAACCTGGTAACCCTATTTCTGTAGCTCTGTTCCTACCTAAAACAGACCCCATGGTCAGAGCCATTTAGAAACATTAAGTTGAATCCATCAATGTGTCAAATGAGGAAACTGAGGCCCAGAAGGAAGAAGGGGCTGGTTCATGTACTGTGGGTGGCACATCTGGGCCACCCCTGACTCCAAATCCAGGACACCTTGTCTAATAATCCCTCTCTTGGTGACCTGTCAGTACAGAGCCACCTGACCAGGTGGCTTCCGTGGGCTGATAGGCCCGGCACCAGCCACTATGGAAGGAAAGGCTGCCCTTCCCTGTGAACCCTGACAGAACTGTGTCGCTGCTCTGCTGCAGAACAGGGACTGTCCCACACACTGGGCGTGGGTTGAGGACACTCAGCAGGAGTTAGCCATAAAACACACTTACTTCATCCTGGTGGCATGGAAAATAAAAATAAATAATTTGATTAGAAAAAGTCAGGTATGATCGCAAATCATCAGCAAAAGTGTGCACAAGGATACATGGATATTGCTTTCTGCCAGTACCACAGAGACAAGAAACCTGGGGCTATGGCCAGGAGCCTCCCACCAGGGAGACAGTCTGTCTAATAAGCTGGGCATTAATAGGCACCTCTGAGGGACCCAGGGAAATTTCACATTTTGGATCCCAGTGAACACCCACAGGCTGAAATCTCGGTGGGGCTCAATATTCCCGTGGAGCACACTACTTCCCTGCATGTGTTCCAGGGAGGAAAGGCTGCCAGTGTCCTCTAGGGCCACCTCCACTCAGGAAGACCCCTTCCCGTCTGCCAGAGCCCAGTGGAAGGAGCACTGCCTGCTCCACGCCCCCTGCTGGGCAGGGCCAGACAGCACAGGGCAATCGCATTGCCCCCTGCAGACCTTGTGAGGCCTAGAAAACGCAAACGCAGGAGTGAGGAGTGACACTACAGGCAGAGAAGGGGCCGAAGAGCTGTGTAGGGGACTCTGGCAGCAGACAAGTTACCACCGAAGGTCCAAGGCTGGGTCAACAACTCAGCATGGACTAGTCCACTTCCCTGGCCCAACCTGTGGGTGTCATTCCCATTTTATACCAGGAAAAGTGAGCCATATAAAGGGGTCCTTTATATCCCCAGCTACTGATTTGGGAGTCAGGAGTAGGCTGCACCTGGGCTCTGGCCACCCTCAAGTCCAGACTCCACAAGGCTATGCCTCAGGCAAAGGGGGCCACCTCCAACCTCTTCTTGGAGAAGGCATTGGTCACAGCTCTGCGGGACCCTTCCCATGGCTCAAGGGGGCAACCAACACCACATGCTCCGCCAGTCACAAGGAGGGGAGATTCCATCCTGTAGGAAATGGTTGCAAGACTCCTGGCCACTGACTTCTACCCTATGGTCAGGGGGCCATACAGGGCCTGGTAATCCAATTCAAGGCTGGACAAATTCCAACATCCTCAGACCCTCAATCTGAAAGGCCAGATTCACCAAATGGGAAAGGGGGACAGCTTGTGCTAAATCAAGATTCACTGGATTTTCTGCTTGAGTTACCAAAAGACCCCCGATGCAAATGTGAGGAACCATTCCTCCCTTAGCTCCATGAGACCTGGGGCACTGGGCTGTTCCCTCTTAGCTACTTGGTGGGGGAACTCCAAGCTCCAGGCACTTGCTGCTAGGACAAAGGGAAGGGAGTGCCAAAGATCAGCAAGCAACAGGTGATGCTCCTTAGTAGGAAGCACATATCTGCACCTTCCCTAGAGATTCAGGAGGTGTTGGGCAATGCTCGCTGTGCACACCTCCCCCGTTAATATCTCAGCTACATACAAAGCCTGCCCAATAACAGGGCAAATGCTTAAACAGAGGCTTGGATGCATAGCTCACCTGGGACAGAGGGGTCATGGGTGCAGCACTTCCTCTTACCTCAAACTGTGGCCAGTTCATGGCCATGCCTGGCCCGTGATTGGCTCGGAACCACCTCAGGTCCTCCACTGCATCAGCCGCTTTGATGTTCTGTTCCAAGTCGCGGTAAATGGTTTTGTAGCTAAATCAGAAGAACCATAGCTTTGTGGGAGGGAGGAACCAGCTAACAACCACAGGCCCCATGGTCTCTGCAGCCTACACACATCTACTTCCCAGGGAACGGGACCCCTCCATTAAGATCATCGGGCAGCTGCATGTATATATGGTCAGTAGCTCTGCTGTGCCTAAGGTGGTGTGTGGACCAAGTGAGCACCACTGTGTATCCCTGAGTCAGGCAGAGTCAAGGAAGAAACAACTGCAGTGTCACAAGTCCCAGCCCCTCAGCCTAGGGATAGCCTAGGCAACTTAGAAGACCTGAACGGAAAAAAAGTGGCTATGGTGGAGATATAGCTCAGTGCAAGGGCCCTGGCTTAAATCCCAGTACCAAAATAAATAGGGACGCACGAAGGCAGGAAAGAAGGAAGACAGGAGAAATCTGGACAAGACCCACACACAGGGAAGGTGACGTGCTAACAGGGAGAGATGGCCAGGAGACTGGGGCAGCCACAAGCTGAAGAAGTGGAGGACTTCAGCAGATACCAGGAGCTGGCAGAGGCAAGGAGGACTGACCCCGGAGCCTTCAGCGGGGACACAGCCCAGTCCACTCCCTGATTTTGGATTTCTGGACTCCAGAATTATGAAGAGGACATGTCTGTAGTTTAGAGCTGCCCAGACACTGGGACTCTGCCACAGCAGCCATAGGAAGCAACTATGTCACCTGGCCCAGAGTAGGTCTACAGCCCAGACAAGCATGCCTACACACAGCAGAGGGGTCACCACACCCAAAAGAGCTGGCCACAGTCCCAGCCCTGTCCCTTGACAGCCGGGCAGCAGCACACAGGTCACTGAACCTCCCCCAGCCTCAGTCTCAGTCTCATCAATAGGAACAATGTGGCCTCCTTTACAGGGATGTCATAAATTAAATGGTGGTAGAGTAGCTGTGTGATAATTACTGCTTTTCATTTCTTTTATAAGGATAACAACAAAGGGAATGTAATGTCCCATTAACAACAGGTCTTAATCTGCAATTCATTCTTTAACAGTTCTGCCACATGGTGGTCAGATGCAGACGTCTGTCTGTGCCCCTGTCAGTATGGACCTCTGGCCTCATACAGGCATCTTGGGACCCAAGCTGAGGATAGCACAGAAGGGAACATGGCTGCTGTGTCACATGTGAAGCTGAGTCTCATAGGGCTTGTGCTTCACCTGGGGCCTAGAACACCTGAGAAGTTAAGGCCAGGTGGCGGCAAGGATGAGGCACGCTCCCTCCCCCAGGTGGAGCTGTGCTTAGAACTTGTGGCACCCACTTCCTGCCCAGACCCACAGGCGGAGCTGGCAGCACATGCTCCACCTTATCTGCCCAGGCCACTGCAGATGGCTTACCAGGCTTTCTCTAACCCAGCTGGCTTCAGGTGGGCTCAGCACAGCACTTGGGCCACTCAGCCTGGGCCTCAGCACTTCAGCACAGGGACACCTCCAGCAAAATGTCACCCAAGGCCTGCAGTGCAGCATCCAAGTGTCACTGAACAGCAACTTGCCTCTAATATCATAGAGAATCTTACCTGGCTACATTTGACAGGTCCAGGTGCTTCTGAACCTCTAGCAGAACCTCCCGGAAGAAGCGCAGTCGCTTTTCCTCAAACTGCTGGCACTGCTCAAATACCTGCTCCATGTTCTCCATGTACTGGGGGGTGCTCTGGTCCAGTTCCTTCAGGGCTTTCTCATACTTGTCCTTGGTCTACATGCAATCCAGGCAGAGACAGAGGTTCAGGTCCATTCTCCCTACTTCACCCACTTGCCCTGTGGCTTCTCAGTTCCTCCTGCCATGATTCCAAACTCAGAACAAGAGCTCTGGAGTCAGACAGACTTTGAGGCTCGGTCCCTGTGCTTCAGCAGAGGGGACCACATTGCTGTCACCCACTGAGAGAGGCCAGACAGGGAAACACAGGAGAGTGATGGAACTCCGTGTGCATGGTGCCGAGCCTGTCACACTGTGACACACAGCTGTGCCCTCTGTGCCTGTGGAGAGCTGTGCTGGGGCACTCTGCGCCTCGGGCCTGCTCCAGCAGGAGTGGCTTAAAGAGTCACCTCAGAAACAAGGTCATGGCTTTAAGTGTCAGGTGGGGCTGGGCTTGAACCCCAGAGTGCTTATTTTCATGGAGCCTTGCTTTCCTTACAAGAAAATTCAGATTTAAACAAAAGGCACACAGCTACATGGAGCAGGCATTCAGAGTCCTCTTCTCTGTCCTCCAGGACACCTTGCTGCTGCTTCCCAAACTGTTCTCAAGAAGGCTTTTATGAGACAGGAAATATGAAGAGCAATGTGGCCCATCTCAATAGAGTCCAGGGACAGCTGGAAAACACATGAAGATTCCTAAAAAGTGGCTGAAGTGAGCACCTGACAGGACAAGCTCCGGGTCGGTGATGCCTACACAGACTTCTGGGCATCTTTTCCTCTGTGCCACACCAGCCTACTGCTCTGCAGGCCAGGAGGTTTTGTCTGCTGTGGCAGCCTCCTGGGATGACAGGAGGGCCGGGGTCACCTCTTTATTACAAGGCTTTCCACTACAAGACCCTAAGAAATGAGCAAGCAGTTGGGGATCCACCCAATTAACTGTGGATTCTCCCTGACACACACGCAGGGCCTCCTGAGGAAGGACCAGGCCCTCCCTAAGGTTCCTCCAGCACCCTGAGTCCTCTCCACTCACCCTGCTAAGGACACAGGACATCCTCTGGGTGACCCAGAGACTCCTCTTCTTGAAGCCTCCCCAGCTTGAGGGTGATCTTACCATTCCCTGGAGCCCCACCCTTGTCCCTGCCCCTCTCCTGCATCTGTGGTTCATGCTGCCCTCTGCACGCTCTCAGATGCCTGTGCTGGGCACCTCTCTTAGCACAGGAAAAGTCCCCTGCCCAGACTGGTCAGAGCTCCACAGCCCAAGTGGTTATTCAGTAGCATCATCAGTACTGCCCTGTGCACACTACCCTGATGCCCATGTGGGAGTCCCAGCTCAGCCCCAAGACACAGCGTGGGCCAGGTATTGAGCAGGGCCATCACCATTGAGAAAATCCCCACACAGAGGAAAAAGATCTTAGAGAACCTTCATCAACTGACAGAGGTGGCCTGCATCCTCCAAGGACTGTCGTCTTTTGACACGAATGCAAAAACTTTCTCTGATGCAGGCCCTGTCTGACCAGTAAGAAACAGGAAAATCTATAGCAGGCACCCAGCACTGGCTTTCAGAAGGGATGCAGGGGGGGAAAATAAAAAAAAGAAGAAGAAGAAGAAGGTTTGCCCTCCTGTCCAGGACTCCGGACTCCATAGCTACCAGAACACTCAGGGCCCCAGGTCACTGGTAGATAACAGCGGCATGGATGCTCCAAGGAGGTAGCACTCTGCAAGTCCTCCGGACAGATACTTCCTGTCTGACCACCTTACACCCTGGCCTGTTATTCAAAAGCATCATTTTGATGGTGTTTGTCCCAGATGGCTGTGACATAGCCAAGGGTCCCCTCTGTCTCTCCCTCTTTCCCTGTGGGTCACACAGGCACACAACCACGTCCTTTATGGAGTTGGTTCATCTTTCTTCTAGGCACCTTTGGGGGCACCTGCTTCTTTGGGATACTAGAAAAGACCTCAGACTTACGCTTCTTGAGACCAGGTACCCCCTGACCAGCAGGTCAACCCAAGTTCTTCCTTTACCTAATCCCATAAGTGAGGCACTTGGGCAGCTCACAAATCCCCATATTTCTGTCCCTAGCCCTGGCAGCAATGGGTGTGTGTGGGGGGGGTGCTGTTCACCAGTGGATGTTTGTGCTGAGTGATGAGCTCTCAAGTACATGAGTGTGCCTGCTCCCCGCCATGCTAACCACATGGGAGGGGGTTGGTGAAGCACAACAGCTCTGGGATAGAATTTGCACTCTCACGCTATGGGAAAGCACACCTCTCTAATGTTGGTCTTCTTATTCACAAAGCAGGAATGCTACTGCCTACTTTGCAGGGGCATGGTGACACTCACCTGAGGCCTAGAGAGGTTACCAGGTGGCTGTGTCAGCTCAGGACTCTCACCTGCCTGGTCTGTGGAGGACAACTCCATCTGACTTATGTAAGCTCCAGCTGCCAATCCAGGTCTGGGCTGATGGCATCAGCAGGGGTCAGGCCTCACACAGGGTACCCCGGTCCCCTACTTTCTGCCACATAACAGAGCAGGCAGCATGCCACCAGGTCCTTCACTTCCTCAGAAGTTTTATTTTAGCTCTTGTAATACCGAGAGCTTCCAGGCAGAATTATACCACATATCTGTGGGGTATCTCAGTTTAAATCTAAAGTGCTTTTACAAAATCAACTTACTTGATCTCACAACCACAGAGATCTCATTCACCACAGTAACAGAAGGGCACTCAGGATGCCATATGGCCTGCACGCTGTCTCTTTAGTGTCAAAAGCCACTTTCCTGTCACCCTTTGCCCCAGTGCTTGGGGCCTGGCACTGCCATGGCTGCAGGACAGCTCCACAGCTCCATCCCCACCTGGGCCCTCACTTCCCTGTGGGTCTCCAGACCTGCCCTTCAGCCAGCCATCTGCTCTGTCTGCAGCCCTCTCTCTACTCAGCTCAATCACTCTGACCTCATCTCTGTCCTCCCCAGCAGCACTGCACAATACTGTTCTGCCTGACTGTGAAGGCTGCTGGGATCTGGTCCTCGTAATCTTCAATTATAGCTTATACATCACTTCCTGCTGCTATCGATGGACATTCCCACCTAATGCCCTACATAAGCGGCTCCTTCTTGCAGCAACCCAAGCTTTCTTCAAGGTTCCCTGGGGAGCCACACATAGCACCTCACTTCCCTGAGCACAGGGCTGGCCATTTTCCTACTTCCCCAGCACTTGGCTCTGCCCCTCATCGGAGGCAGGTGCAATGGCTGTGACAATGTCAGGGGCTAAAATGCTGGCTTTGTGGCCCTGAGGGCAAGGATGTGTTTTCTTCGTATCTATCCTTCCACCTACCCATCAAAAGGCTTACTATGTGCCAGATACATGAACAAGTACTATACTGATACTCAACATGCAGGAAAAGTATATGTTTTACCTTCAGAACATCTTGCTTGCATTTTTCTATTTTGTCTTGTAATTTCTTGAGCTGTTCTGGGTTGAGTGAGGGATCTGACTTGCTGTTGGCTTCTCGGGAGATGGCCAACTTCTCTTCTTTGCAGGCTGCATGGTAGGCTTTTTTCGCTGCTTCTACCTATAGGCAGAGCGAGTTCTGAATGTCCCAGTGCTGACAGGTCAGGATCCTCACAGAGGACACACTGACCACAGTGTGTTTGTGCTGTCAAGATGAGTAGGACAGGCAGGGACAAACTGCACGTACTGTATCACTGTAACTAGTTGCGACAGGGACCTCACTCTGCAGATATTTACCAAGCGCTGCTCTGCTGTGTGGCTCCAGGCCCTGGGGACACAGCAGAGAATCAAATGACCTGGGCTTTCATAAAGCTTCAATTTGATTTGAGAGAGCCAAATGCAGGGGACAATTAAATGTTTTTAAAAGGTACTAAATGGTATGAAGTGTGGTGCATGCCTATAATTGTAGCACTGAGGAGGCTGAGACAGGAGGATTGCTGCAAGTTTGAGGCCAACCTGGGCTATGTAGTGAGTTCAAGGCCAGCCTGAGCTACATAGCGAGACCCTGTCTCAAAAAACAAAAACGAAACAGAAATGGCATGGAAGAAAATACATCAGGGAAGAGAGACTGGAAACACCACTGGTAGGAGGGCAAGATTTTATATGCAATGGGTGGAAAAACCAGCTGAGGAAGTGTAAGGATGTGTGTGCCAAGACAGTGAGCACCAGGAAGTTGCAAAAGACAAACTCACATGAGCAAGTGATGGTGCTGTGCTGGGGAGGCAGGGTAGTGGGCTACACTTCCATGGTTTCAATGCCTATTTCAGTTACACACACACTAATATATATCTACTGTACCCACTGATTTAAAAGTTTCCTTGTGTGAACTACGGCCATAGATTGCTCTCTCGGCAGAGAGAAACACAAGGGGGAAGCTATGGCCTCTACTTCCATGGTTTCAATGCCTATTTCAGTTACACACACACTAATATATATCTACTGTACCCACTAATTTAAAAGTTTCCTTGTGTGAACTATGGCCATAGATTGCTCTCTCGGCAGAGAGAAACACAAGGGGGAAGCTATGGCCTCTTGAGGTAGGGAACTGTTTAATTACCACTGGGTCCAGGCCAAGGTGGGAGAGAAAGGAGAGGTGGCAAAATAAGACACAAAGGGGAGCCTGCAACAATCCAAGGCTGGGTGGAGGCAGCATGTACAGTGAGCAGTGCGGCAGGTTGCAGGCAGGTGCAGCACACAAGCTAGGGGCTGGGATGGCAAGAGGATGGCCTGCAGACAGCCAGGGCCTGACCAGACCCATGACTTTGCCTTCAAGTTGTAGAAAGAGGAGTAGTAGCATCACTGGTATACTAGGGAGAAAACCCATTCAAGAGAAAGAATTTAAATTAGTATTTGTTACTAGTCTAAATGGACCGGCACGTCTCTCTAGCAGACAAGTGCCCAGGTTGGAGAAGCCCTAATAGTGAATTTTGAGCTCTCCACCAATGAGCAATGTGACCCTGGGTCCCAGACTGTAAGACAGGCTGGTGAGGATTAAATTTAAAGAATGCTCAAAAGGCACCGGTGTCTTGGACCTGGGCAAATGTCTGGGCTGAGGGGTGGCTGTTCCTCTACCAGGTATGGCCTCCCCGGGCTATGACAGCCACAGGAGGTCTTGGAGCACAGTGCTAGAGGGAGTGCAGGGAATCCTGACTAGGAAGTGGCCCAGGGAGGGAAGTACCTCTTTCAGCTTCTTGGCCCAGGGCTTCTGGGCTTTGCGGAAGCTGTCCTCTGCTTCCTTGGTCTCCTTGAAGCCTCCCATCATCTGCTTGTGAAAGGCTTCCTTCTGCCAGTTCTTAATCTTCTCAAAGTCCTCATTCATAAGTGAAGCCTTTACGTCCAGGTGCAGCTCACTGACCCTCTCTGCCTCAGACATGAAGGATACCCAGGCCTTCTCCACCGTCCCGTACTGTGGTCCTGATACAGGAGAAGAACTTGATTACTAACACAGGGCAAAGGCACCGATTTCCTGTCAACCCCACAGTCATTTACACGGAGCAACTTGATCCATACACATTTCCTGCACTTAACACTGAGCTCTTACTGAAATCTCTGTATCTTGGGAGCCTGACAGTTTACAATGGTCAAAGAACGGAAGCCTGCTGAAGTGAGCTGCCCTCTCTTTTCCAGGCTGCTCCGAACCCGTACCCACACCCATCAGCTCTGCTCTCAGATAGTCCCCTACCAGTACAGTGCTGTGACCCCCAGCAGGGCTCCTTCCACCCACTCCTACAGGGTCCAGAGCAGCCCTGAGATAGCCTGCAGAATGCAGGAGGTGCTGTGCTTGGTGAGGAAGGAGAGGAAGGAGACTTGAACTTATAGGGACCCATGTCGAAGTCTCTGGGGAGCACGGTGGGGGTCCAGTCACCTCAAACCCTTCTCACTGTCCCAGTCCACAAAGCTCAGGAAAGAAACCTTAATCTGGGCTGTTACTTAAGAGAGCAGGATGTGGGGTGTGCGTGTGCGTGAAGAACTATGGCAAAGCGGAGGGTGACAAATGAGAGACCAAGTCTGGGTCCCTGAGATGCTCATAGGGAGCGGTAGTCACTGAACAAGTAATGACAGATGGAAAGAGGGCGCAAGACTCTAGGGCTTTAGGACAGCAGAAATGTGATCCTCTGAACTAATGACTTAGGACTACAAAGTGAGCATCCTCTGTGGCCTGCCTTGGTCAGCACTAATGCAAATATATCTACAAGGTGAGCATAGCAGACATGACAGCTGGAGCTGAGAGAGATGATCTGTCTCTGTTGCTTTTTACCCAGGCAGCTCCCCAACTGGGGCCACCATGCTGCAGCAGAGCTGTACTTGGGTCCCCTGCAAAGCCCATTTCAGCACCTGGGAAAGGACGGGCAGCTTCTGCTGATTCTCACCTGGTACCTGGCTTCCCTGCATGGCTCCTCTGAGCTCAGAAGCCAGGATGGAAAAGCCAACCCTGAACACTCACAGGAGCTCCATCCAGCAAGCTGCCCCTGCCCAGGAAATCTGACCATTACCCAGCTCCCTGACGGTGGCACATGTGACCTCCACAGAGGTATCTGTGACAGGCCTTGGTGTGCTCTGAGCTTCACTGGGGTGAGGAAAAGAAAAAACCTCCTCTGGGGAACACCTGCAGTCATGCCCATTGAGACTAAAGCCAGGAAGATAACCACTGTCACTACCCAGTGTTATCTGATTTGCTACAGGGCCAGCCTGGCAGATGAGCAGCTCTCAGTGTTAGAAAATGAAGTGCTGAGCAGCAAGGAACTTTGTCATATGTCAGCCCTCAGCAGAGGTTATTTTCCTGTTCCAGGTTCAGCCTGAATGCTTAAGTGTGTCCTAAGGATGACAAGGGCCCGAACAGTAGACAAAGGGCTATGCAAAGGGCAGTCTGGTGTCCCCAAGGAGGCACAAAAGGCCTGAGCCTGCTGGGTGGTGGGTACCCTGTGGCCCTGCACACACTTCTCACAGGAGCACGAGGCACTCCTCCCCGTTGCATCTTACAAGAGAGGAACCTCGCCCAGTGAGCCCGGCAGGTAGGCAGCTGGTGCCCATACCCAGACTATCCCTACCCTTCTCAACAAGCTGCCTCCAGCGTCGGGCCCACTCTGTGAGCTGCTGTGCATATGCCTTCTCGATGCGCGCACGCTCATGTAGGCAGTTCATGAGGTCAGTGCACAGGCGGTGGCCATCGTCGATCCTCTTCACTGTTCGCTTGTAGTTCCCGACCTAGGAGACACAGCAACTCTGAGGCAGAGGCTAGGACAGCCATCCTGTACCAGCCTCTAGGGCGAGTGGGCAGCCTGCTCCTTGCTGCTGCAAACCGACGGCTTCTTGCTAACTAGGCCCCCCATGCTCACTCCAAGCACTTGAGTGGCTTCTGCTTTTATTAACAACAAAAACACACACGTCAGGACGGGAGCCTCTCAATGTACCCCAGTCCAGGCACGGAGCACAAAGGAACCCATGGGTGGGGAGGAAGGCAGAGCCACAACGTGCAGGACTCAGGGTGCCAGGGTGGATTCTCACGCAGATGGGGCAGCCAAGGACGGCTTCCCAGAGTTAGTGACATCCAAGAAGGCAGAACTAATAATCATGCTTTGCCGAAGGCAAGGTGAGTTTTCCCTCCTTTTCCCCCATTTTTTGTTTTGCTTTTGTTTTTTGAGACAGGATCTCACTGTGTAGTTGAGACTGTCCTGGAACTCACTACGTAGCCCAGGCTGGTCTCGAACTCGCAGCGATCCTCCTGCCTCAGCCTTTACGCAGCACCGATGCGTAAAGAAGGGATACAATTTACAAGATATGACCCAGAAATGCTACACCTGGAATTACAGGCGTGCACCACCACGCCCAGCCCTCCCCCCACATTTTAAAGGAGAAAGTGGCTAACCTAAACTAGAAATAACAGAAGAACAACTGAGAAAGTGCTAGGATAATTGGGGTGAAAATCAAAATGTTCACTATGCTTCATCCTTTGAGCTGCTGCTGAGATGCTTGAAAGGTGTAAGGCAGCTGCCATTGAGCACCACAGGAAACAGGACATCATCCTTTTTCTCCCACTTTCTCCAAACATCACAGCCACCTTCTCATCTGTGCTGCCTTTTCCTGCTGTCTCTCCCTGGGGTCACCTAACACTTTCTCTGTCTACACTCAGTCTGGAGGCTCCTAAAGGTCAGATGAACACGTGCTTGCTTTGTAAAAAGGTCTACTGCATCCCCTCTCCGCAGTGCAGCCCTGGACACTCTCATGTCTCTCTGTCCTGAGCTCAGTTAGCCAGGTAAGGAGCACAGACAGTGAGTGTGTTAGGAAGGTGACAGGAGTGAGACCTTGCAAAGGGACAAACACATGAGCCCTGGACGCACATGGCAAGGGCAGAGAAGATGGCCGTTGCCCTACAAGGAAGAGCAATCGTCCTTGAGACCAGAGCTGAACAAGCTAAGGTGATGAACCCTCCTACAGACTCTTGAATCCTGCAATCAGCAAAGACCCCCAGAGGCCATGAGCCTGGACCACCTTCCCCAGAGACTAGAACTGCATTCAGGAGGGACAGCTCGAGGGAACAGCCCTGGGTTCTCTCCTCAGCCTCCTGAACCCCAGGTGGGTCAGGCAGTGCCTCCTCAGCTGGCAGGTGCACAGCTCCTTGGCACACAGGACTGATGCTGAGTTTCGGCTCTGCACGGCAGAAGCTCCTCCATCCCCTCCCCCAAGGCCACAGCAAGCACTTGCCCACCCACTGCCAAGAACAGCAGGTGCTAGAGATTGCTGAGCTGGTGGCAGGAGCAGCAAGGCCCTCATTCAGCCTTGAAAGTCCCCACGACACTGTGACCCCGAGTGGGTATTTGCCTTCCTTGTCCCAAAAGATTGTCAGATCGCTGAGCACCATTGAAATAGGTATCCTGGCTCCACAGAAACCTGCCCACTTCTCTGACTGGATTTCAGGAAAAGGACATTTGCTAATAAATCACACCTTGGTGCCAGCCATCAGCATACCCAGGGAGCTATGGTTCTCATTTTCAACTGTTGAAATCTGCTAGGCTGCCCTGAGTATAGGAGCTGAGCTTGCATGTGGGCACCTGGGGTCCACACACGCTCGTGGCTATGTGTGTGCCATGATGACTGTGTGGTCAGCACTCCATCACGAGGAGGAAACCCTGGGAATGTCAACGTGAAGGAGGAAAGGGTTACTCTGGCTCATGGTTTCACAAGTTTCAGTCCATGGTCATCTGGCTTCACCAGTCTCATGGCAGAGAGTGTGGAATGGCATAGCTCTTCTGCTTATGGCAGCCTGGAAACCCAGTGACAGTCAGAGAAAAGGGGCCAGAGACACAATACAACCCCCAGGAATAAATCCCCATGACTCACCCGCTAAGGTAAACCCTAAGGTTCCAACACCCCTGATGATGCCATGAAGTATGGATTCATCCATAGCTAAACCCAGATGGAATTAGAGCCCCTATGACCCAATCACATCAAAAGCCTCAACTCGGAACACTGTTGTTCTTCAAAATTGTTGCCTTTGGGGCTCAACTCCTACCCAATCCCTAACTACCACCCAGCAATTTGCTGTGGACTTACAAGCACACAGTGTGGACACATTGCAGGCTGAAGAGAAACACGACAATGTCGACAGGCACCGATGCGTAAAGAAGGGATACAATTTACAAGATATGACCCAGAAATGCTGCACCAGAAGAAACAGGAAGATGGGAGGCAGTGTGGGTGGGAAGCAGGGGAGCCAAGACAGGGACTTGCTCCGCTGCCCTGATGTGCTGTTTGCTGTTTTTTCCCACACAGGCTCCCCTGGGTGCATGTGTCCCTGCCCGGCCACCAAAGGGCAACACCTGCATCCCCAGTGCTAGCACTCGTAACTGATTCTCTACTGAGACTGACAGGCACAGCTTTCTGAGGGCCACGCGTGTCTTTCCAAACACTGTGTCCATGGCCACAGCTTCACTCAGGTTTGCCTCAGTCAGGAAGCCCCACACAAGATTTCATCATAACAGACTCCTCATAATACAGCCTCATCAAAGTAGCACGCTGTGCTTTGCAGGGAGGCTGCTGACAACTCTACCTGTGACACCCATACACTTAACTGCAATCCAAGCCCAGGGGCAACAACGTGGTCCCCAGGCTGGTGGTCATTTTGTGTAAAAGGAAGTAGAGCTGCAGTCATCTATGACCTATGTGCCGAGTCTGGGCCAAGGCCAGAGATGGTACAGAGCTTCACAGCAATGCACCGGGCCCACTCCTGTCCCCTCATGGCAAGGAGGTTCTTCTCAGGAACCCATAACCTGTACACTTTCCAAAGGTGATCTTGATTTTAACCCCAGAATAACTATGCCATTTAACCTGTGGCCCCGAAGGATCAACCACCACATCTGCCCTCTCTGTACCCTGGTGATGAAGGCTCAGGGAGAGTCAGCTGTTCTAAACTGGCCAACAGAAGGAAAGGCTCCAGCAGGATCCCCTGGGCAGGTCCATAGCCCAAAAGCACCTGTCTTACCCAAAACTGACAAAGAAGTTCCCATACCTTTTTTCTTTTTTTCTGCTCATATCCTGGGCTTTATAGTTAACTCTTTAGTTTCAAAACCAAACTTAATTAAGAGCTTCCATTACTCTAACTGTATTAGGTTATTGTAACTGTTTGTTTTTGTTGTTTTCTGAGGCAGTCTCACAATATTGCCAGGCTTTGTTCCTCTGGCCTCAGCCTTAGGATCACAGGCTGGCACCACTGTGCCTGACCTGCACCTTCTCTGTTGGCTTGGAAGACCAGAGTGAAAGAGGAGCCTTTAGGATTCCTTAACTATGGTGTTGCAGGTGGCGAGGAGCTGGCTGAAGCAGCTTTGGACATCATGCTCACGCCACAGGCATGCCTGGCCCTCTCTATCAGGCCTGCTCACCGTAACCACCTCTCCCCAGGGAATAGGACATGGCCAGCCCTACGCCCAAATGTATGGCTCTGCTCACGTCTCTTCTCTGAGCTCTTCTCTTCCTCTGTTGTAAGGTGGACTTGGAATGGCACGTGTGAGAATGAAAGGTACTAGACGGGGTGGCTGGTGCCACAGGTCAGGCATCTTTCCCCCAGTCCAGTGAGCTCTCAGCCACCACCCAGTAATGGCATTTCTTCACCCTGTCCGCTGAGAGTGGGGAGAGGCTTAGGTGACCTTTGACCTGTGAAACCCTTCATGGTGCAAGGATCTCTAACTGAACTGCATCTGTGGAGGCATTCCTCTCTCCCAGCTGCTGCTGGGTGCTGAGGACTGTGTGAGGCAGGGGACAACGGTGACCAACCTGTCACTACCTCTGCAGGACTCATTCATGATCAAATACAGAACACAATTACAGGTGGTGACAGACCTGAAAAGGAACATTATCCTGCCAGTCAGGGCTAACTGAAGGAGTAGTTTCTGAGCGGAGTGAATGGGACTTCATAGCCACTTTAGGAAGGCTGCGGCAGGAAGCCGTAGCAGGAACCACATAAGCTCCACACAGTGCTATCTGCCTGTGAAACCCCCCACCCCGTCACCAGTCACATGCCAAAATGTATTAGAACAGCAGGGTTCAGGGGACAAAAATCTTGCCTTTATTCTCATTCCCACACCAGCCAGACAGGGCGCCCATAATATCCTCTCAGAGCCCATGAATGGTGGGAACTGAGATTCCCATTCTACAGGGCAGAGGGGACCGAGCAGGTGCTAGAGTCAGAGCCACAAGCACTGGCATCACTTGTGGTCCTTTCTTTATCCAGTTCTTCATTCAGTGAGTCCTGTGCACTCTCCCCACAGACAGTAATCTAAGCACATCATCAGGAGGGCAGATGAGCAACTGTCTATGCTTCCTTCACGTTACTAAAAGTCACACAGGTACAAACCGGCAGGAGGGCCTCACTCCAGCTACTAGACATTACTGAGCTCTTTTATGCATGCAATCACCAGTCTCTCAGCCTGCCGGGCACTGTGATGAGCCCCAGGTGGGCAGGCTGTCACATGGATAAGGCTGCCAGGTTTACTGTCATGCAGGATGATGTGGGGAGCAAGCAGAGTGTACTGCACTGAGTGGCACGCCAATATCAACGCCCACCTGCCTCGTGCTTCATGCTGTGCCCTTCACTCTACTGCTGCCTACCTGCTCACCACTCCCCATCGGCTCTGGGAGGCGCCTGCCACCCACTGTCATCTCGGTCCTGAACTGAGCCTATGACCTGGGCTGTGGCAGGTGCCAAACAAGTC